AGAGGCTGGGAATTCGGTGGCAATTCACCCACCTTGACTCCCCAAAGCCATCTACCATCTACAAGGCACAAGATCAGGATTGTGATGGATACTCACCACTTGCTTGGATGAATGCAGCTCCAGCAACACTCAAGAATTTCAATGCTATACACAACTATAGTTCAACAGCTATGAGTGACTGGTTCCCATACATCAACTTCAACATTCACACCCTCCATTACTGACTCAGTGGCAGCAGTGTGTAATATTTGCAAGATTCTTTGCAGAAACCATAGCAACACTCCTTTGACATCACCTTCCAGACCTGCAACCTGAAAGGACAAGGGCAAGTGATGCATGGGAACACCACCATTTACAAGTTCCTCTACAAATCACAAAAGATCCTCACATCAAACTATATCACTGTTGCTTCACTACCGCTTGGTCAAAAATGCTGAATTCCATCCCTAACAGTACTGCAGGTGTATCCAATCCACATAAATTGTGTAGTTCAAGGAGGTAATTCACCCACATCTTCTTAATGACAAGTAGGAATGGACAGTAAATGAGGTTGTTGACTTGCCCACCAAGCTGGCTCGTTTTTGTTCAGACGTTTCATTACCATGCTAGGTGACATCAGTGGAGCCTCCAATGAAGCGATATTATTCTACTCCGCTTGGAATTTATGCTGTACGGTCCGTTATGGTGAGTACTGGCATTTCCGGTTTTAATCTGTATGAGTTTATATATGAGGTCCAATTCTACATGTTTGTTGATTGAAGTATGGGTGGACAACCATGCCTCTAGGAATTCCCACGCATGTCTATGTTTGGCTTGGGCTACTATGGTTACTTTGTCCCAGTCAGACGGGAAGGAAACTAGCCATCAGAATATACGAACAACAGTTAGTAGCAAAACAGCATGATGAACTCTCCTTAACATCTGTACATTCAGACAATGAAGGCCATCACTTTAACTGGGACAAAGTAACCATAGTAGCCCAAGCCAAACAGCCACTTCGAAATTCTGAAGAAGGGTCCAGACCCGAAACGTCAGCTTTCCTGCTCCTCTGATGCTGCCTGGCCTGCTGGGTTCATCCAGCTCCACACCTTGTTACCTCAAGATTCTCCAGCATCGGCAGTTTCTACTATCTCCCAATTATGACAATTATGTTTTTCTCAAAATGAGGGGGTAGAATTTGATCCCTATAATACAACAATGCAAACACTGAGCAACCAAATCATTAAAATTTATTGAGTTAATGTTGCAACTTATCATTCATGTCTTGCTATTTTATAAAGAAATCTCAAGTCTTACCTCCATATAGATAAGCGTGGGGTTCATTAGCTCCCAGAAACATGGCTTCTCCAGGTTGCAGTTTCACCAGGTTTAGGAAGTAGATGACAAAACACCCAACGTCCCCTGGAAACTGGGAGTGCAACCGTAGCAAGAGCTCGCCATTACTTCCTGTAGTGTCCTTTCCTGCAGTATCTACAGAACATGTCACTGTTAATTTTGAATTGTGGCATGCACTGCATAATTAGAATGGCAAACACTAAAATCCACAAACATAAAAATGTCACAAACTCAAAGCACAAAAAGCAGAGGTTTTTTTTGCAGTTGGCTTACTTTATCAGCCTCATTGAAGGGCATGCCTGAAATAGTGACCAGTCTTTCTTTGCAAAGCCAACTCACTATTATGCAATTACAGCATTTCTCTAAATAAGTTTATTTTCAGCATCTGCAGCTTTATGCAGAATTGCAACCACACAGAAGTTGAGATAGCTCTTCAAAGATCAGAGAAGTTTAAAGGAACTTTAAGAGATAGGTTCAAAATCAGAGGGCTTTGAGAAGACAGAGAAACAGTTTCTATCAGATGAGTGTCAGTAGCAACAGCACACAAATTTAAGATAATTAAAGTCCCAGATGGGCGATGTAGAGAATTTTTCTTAATGCAGCAAATCATTGCAAATTGCAATGCACTCTGAAATGATAATTCAATATCAACTTGAAAAAAGAATTTTATAAGTATTGGAAAAGACCAAATATTGCAGGGATATGAAGAAAAATGATAGCGTAGAATTTAGTTGTTTAAATTATAGGTCATAGCCACTAAATGGCAGCTTGGTTCACTTGGTAACACTTTCAGTTCAAATGTTCAAGCCACATTCCAAAACTAAGCACAGTTGCAATGAAATACAGACAGCACTGTCACTGTCTTGTGGGTAAGAGATCTAGACACTGGTAATCCTGTGGATGAAGATCACATAGCACCACTTCAAGGGAAGGAAGTTTTCATGGTGTCGTAGGTAATATCACTGTCTCACCAATACCAACCCAGTAATTCATCTTATTAATGTTTATGGAATCTTGCCATGAGGGATTCTAGAAGGCAGGCAGTCCACTTAGGACTGAGATGAGGAATTTCTTTACTCGGAGGGTTATGAATCTTTGAAATTTTCTATGCTACAGGGCTGTGGAGATTTAGTTGTTGAGAATATTCATGACCAAGGGTGAGATATTTCTACATAGTAAAAACACAAAGGGATGCAGGGATAGTGATGGAAAGTGACGTTGAAAATCAGCTACAATTTCATTGAATGGTGCAGCAGGCCCAGTGTGCTGAATGGCCTCCTCCTACTAATATTTTAATATATTAAGTGCAGTAAAATGGCTATCACATTACTTGCCAACCAACAACTGCATTTCAAGTAATTGCCTGAAGTCATTTCTGACAGACGGGACTTGGTAGGAAAATGCAAATATTTGTTTAAGAGTCCCGTATGTCAACAAGCTCACACAAAACTGTTTAAGAAATATTGCACTATGAACATTATCTCAGTGACTGCAAGTTAATTTATATTTGACTTTAACTCTTTTCTTCAGTCAGATCATTAACGCAACAAACCTTCTTGCAACACCCTCTTCACCAACATGTTCAGTTGATCAATAAAAGTTTTCTTTTCACAGTTCATCATTCGAGTAAAGCATTTCTTCAAAGCCTCAGATACCTGACGTGGGTCACCAACGCTATTTTCAAGCGCTTCTGCAGCTTCATTGCCAATCACTGCATGGAATTCTGGGACATCTGAAACAAAGCAAAAGTGTCTCAAGACATCAAGAGGGTACCAGTGCAGATCAGACATTTGTTCAGTTTCCATCTCAAAGAGGAAGGCTAGATAATGCTTTGGGTACAACACTTCAAAAGGATTAAGAAAGTAGAGACAGGGAAGAGCAACCAAAATTCCTGTTTGTAATACCAATAACGTTTGAAATGCATACGGCAACTCTTAAGTGAGGAGAGGGGCAGATCTAAGTGAAAGAGCACACATTGTTGAATATCCATATCTGAACTTTTAGAATAGCCATTTACACAAGGAATTGGAGGGTGCTGTTTTAATGAGGGGTCATGATCCCATACAAGTTACTCCCATTAGGAAAAGAGACAAAAAGGACAATGCAGGTACAGTCTCAAAAATCCAGCTACCCAAAACTGGTGTTACCTCAAACATTATTTATATTTTTTTTCCTCAGCTCAAATAGTTTGTGATGTAGGAAATGGGGACAAATAGGAAAGCATCATTAAATCCAATACATTTGAAGTGAATTAATGACAGCAGCAATCTGGCAATTAAGATAAACTGCTTTGCAATCACAGCAACTGATTTTCACGTGTTCCCTGTTCACTGGCTTAAGGTTTTCCAATTTTAATTAACATGGTCCAAACCTCTTGCTAAGAAACACAAGTTCCAAAATCTATCATGCTTTCAGACTGAGGCGGAGTAAGATTTGAGAGTCTACCTATATCAGAAGATAAAAAACTAGGGGCCTTAAACAATTTTTTTTTTTTTTAAAAGTTGGATTTAATCATGGACAAACCAATGAGTTTGGAAAACATTTGTGCTAATGTTATAAACAGATATCCCAGCTGTAAGGGTACAATTTGATAATAGAAAGAATCTATGTTTATCCAGGACTTCATAACATCCTCAATTCATCAAAGTTATTTACAGCTCAAGGATGAACACCCAGCATCTACGGAGGTAAATTCAGCAACCAACTTGCATTAGTAATGTCTGACAAATAGCATAACATTTTGTCAAACAGTGACAGGATATTTCATGTCCACCAGAATAGGCAAATCATTGGTACAGCAACAATGCAGCCTTCTGTATTACTACACCAATATATTAGCCCAGATGTCCTCAAGACTTTTGTGAACCCTGAAGTACAACTTTTGGTCTTGAAAGTAACAGTACTACTAAATCAGACTACTGATAACAGCTTGTGTGAAGACTGCACATTGCCCATGAGATTCCATGGCATAACAACAAGGTGGTGTGTTTAGAATATGGGAAAAGGACAATGTTTAATCCAGAGGTCTATGATTAAGATTCCCTAGTGTTCTTACCAATACATGTCAGAAATCCTCTTACTTTTCAGATATCCAATAATTTCCTCCACTGGTCTAAATCCACACAGCCCTTCAAAATGAGTCAGTGCAATGGCCATTTCTGGTTTGTGATTTTTATCCGGATAGCGATCCGGAAACTGAGTGTGCAGTTGTACAGCTAGTTCCTGAAAAAGGCACAAGCTTTGTTAAACTATGATTAATGCAGCACTGAATGATCTAGGAAGAGACAGTATAAAACTCCTAATAATTCAGTATAGAGTGCTGATTCCTGTAGAAACATGTTATGTATATATTTTTAAAATGTTTAAGCTTTGAGACACGGATGATGTCCCTCCAAATGTAGCAAAATCTGAGGATCAATCTCTCTGACTAAACAGTTGGAATCACAAATTTACCCCACTCTGCCCCAATAATGTAGGAGGTGGTCTGCTTCAATACTTCTAGCAAAATCCTTACTAAATTGTTAGTAACATATTCATAACTATAAAACAAAAGTAGATTTTATTTATATAATCTTCCACTGCCTTAACTTCAATTTTCAACTTAGAAGAGTCTATCTTGAAGTGCCCATGTTAATGAAAATCAGCTATACTTGGCAGTTTGCAGCAGTTAAATTAAGGATAGTTGCGTCTGGCAGAAAGCTAAATACAATTGATCAATCATCCTTAGCTGGAATTAAAAGTACCAGAGATAATAGAAGAGCACATCAACACTCTACATAAATCAACCACATTTCAAACAAAAAGGTCTAAAAATGGAAACATTTGGTTCATATTTGGAAACACTAAATTCTATGCTCGATCATTGTGAACTACAGTTCAATGCATTCTCTTTCATTCTAAACCACTGATTTCGGCAAAGTGACAAAGTAAGCAGCTTGCCATTCCACAGAAATGATTTTCTCTAAATTTGTGTTTAGTGTCCCCCAAAAAAAGGCATCAAAATAACCACAGTTGGATCCAACTGTCAATGTTATCCAAGACCAAACTGGAACCCATGACAAAATACCAGAATTCATTAGGTTTTGTTAAGACTAGTGCAGAACAAACATCCGGTTCTGACAGTTCAGTATTTTCTGACCAGAAGAATGTGTTTCTTCACATTGCTAGATCCCAACAGAATAATTATTCTGAAACAAAAGAACTCGTTTCTTATAGACAACTGTTCCCACCTTTAAAAGTCAGGTGGGGCAGCAAATGCATCAACACTTGGGGATGCAAATCACTGCTGATAGTATGTTTTGTCATTAACTCAATAACCTTTGAAAATGACATATGTGGCAAACTAAGTATTCCTCTCAAATTCTGAACAAACTTGTTCTTTTAAGATTCCGGATGTATAAAAATTAATTCCAAGATCAAAGTGCTAAATTTACGTAACATGATACTTGCCCAGTTGACTGGAAACAGTTAACCACTTCTTCACTTACTTTGGTTGGATGAGCTTGAATAGATAACGAAATGTTGACCGAAAGCACCTTGAACAGAAAGGGAAGCTGCCCTTGGAAAATATCTTTCACCTTTGATCCCAAACAGTCAGGATGCTTGGCAATCCATTCCCCAAGAGTCTTCTGGGGAATTCTGTTGTCACAGATAATGGCATCCCCTTTGGGATGAGCTCCCATCCATAACTAATAGAAAATCACAACAATTTTTGTTTAAAAATCACTTTTCAGCTAATCATTCCTGCATTTTCCTTAATTATTTTACACATTTTAGTCCTCTCGTGCTATAAGTGTTATTCATTAACAAGGTAACACCACAAAATTTGCAATATGTTAGGAATAATTTCATGTTGGCAAATTTATTTTATAAATGCTACCATTTGAAACTAACAACATTCCTTTATTTCCAAATGAACTGTAGGAGGCCCAGTGTTGGCCAAAGCAAAGAAGTAGGATTTACCACACAACAGATTTGTTTGCTTCTCATATCTTAATCATTCAGAACAGAGTGCTGAACTGATATCTAAGTAGGAGGAATAATTCTTTTCTGTACCAGTCAATGAGTGAGTTAGCACATTGAGCAAACCTCTGGGATTATTGAAGTAAGTTTTATATTGGTATTTGCTGGGTTGGGAATTGTTGGCCCGAGTACAGGCTGAATTAAATTGTACACCAACATTAGATAAATATGGATTAGTAAGGCCAAATCATCTGCACATATCTTCTTGAAGAGAGCTGTTTAACATCCCATCAAAAAATGGCAATGCAGCTTGTGTCACATGGCATAAAAGTGCCATAGATTATGTGTTCAAATCTTTGAAATTGACAGCCGAAATGTATTTTGCTGAGTCATGTTGATTTGAACATTCCTTAACTACCTACTTAATTATTCTTAAGAAGGAGCTCCAAGCACACCATCACAGATTGGCATCATGTGAATGACCCACATTATCTAGCATCAGATCTGCCCAACTTTCAAGCACAACTGCTGACAGGTAAAATCTGAACCTTCCAAAGTATAATCTCTGGGTAACCAGCTCAGAGCAGCACTGGTGGAGGCCAGAGAGGTATCAGCATTATAATGCACAGCTGCCATGGAAGCAGGGAAATAAAGCTCACTCACTCCCAAGAAAATGAGTTACTGACACCACAGGCTCTTTGAAAGTTGACCTCCATGTGCCCCAATGTAAAACAACAACCTTGGATTTTGTTTGTACAATGTGAAGGGAACTAAAGTACCTCAGCATAGGGTTTCTCTTGCTCAATGGATATGGAGGGATCATCACTTAAAGCGAGTTTTGCCACCTCACTCTCCAGGCCGACCTTCCCCCAGGCATAATGCTGCACAACACACTTCAGCGGGAACACTGGAGAAAGAAGAGATTGAAGATCACTATTGGTCTGCAAATAACAGAGGGGAAGTGGAAGAGATGGGGGGGTGGAGGTGGTGGAATAGGGATTGGGGGGGTGGAATAGGCATGGGGGAAAGGGGGAGCAGTCGTTCGTGGGGACAATTGGGGTTTGGGCTGCGGATGGAGAACAAAGAGAGTGCTGTTTGAACCTCACTGCTTCTGACTCAGTGGGACATAATTCTAACAAGCGCCACATCCAAAGCTACAACACCAGGCGGCAGTGAGGCCGCTGTCCCTGAAGCCCCGCACTCGGCCCTTACTGTGACCTTTAAACCGACACAACTGTCCACCTTCACTGAGCCCCGAATCACACACTCCGGCCTACGGGCTCCCTGGACGCCCTATGTGGCCATCACTTAGTGCCGCCAGACCCCTGATGTTAACCGGATTTAAAATTGCGCTGGGATAACAAGGTGTAGAGCTGGATGAACACAGCAGGCCAAGCAGCATCAGAGGAGCAGGAAAGCTGACGTTTCGGG